CCCCAATTTTATGTCAGCACTTACCTTAAATTATGTCTCTTAATCCGATCTTCTTTCCTGTTGTTTTCATCTGTCCCTCCAACGCTGCTGCGGGTCTCCGATCCAGCGCTGACTCCTCTGTGCTTGCTGGCACTTCCTGTCCCACAATGTCTGCATGCGGGTGCACGCCGTCCATAGACTTACCTTGTGTCTCTCCTTGTGTCCCGGTCCGAAAATCTGAACTGCGAATGCGCCCGCCCCAACATCCTTTGCGGCCACCCGGGATTTTTCAGATTTTTGGTTGGGAGCGCGCGGTGAAGACACAGGTAAGCTTTAACCTGTTTGAAATTTTTTTTTGTTTTTGTTTTTTAAAGTTTTTGCATATATCTACTGCATGCTAGCAGTAGGTATATGCAAAAACACCTGAGGGTTTAATAACCCTTTAACTTTGAGCATCACCTGTAGCACATAGTGTAGAGGTGTGGTGATATTTTCTGAAAGCAGAGGTCCTGTAGAATAAAAAAAATGCTTGTTGCAGTTTTTTAAGTTCCACAGAATTTGCCCAAATGTTTATCAAATGGAAATTTTTAGGAAAAAAATAAATGTAAAATAATTTCAGTGCACACAAGCAGAATTTAATACCCAATTTATGGTGTAATATAAAAGATGGGGTTGTTGCACTAAATAGATACCAAATATGTCACGCCTTAAAATTGCACGGCTGTGAAATGACAAAAAACTACAGTACTCAAAACTGCCCATAGGAAACGCTCTAAAACCCTTTACTGCTCATCAATTTAGAGTTAACAGTGAGTGACGGTGTTAAAATTATTGCTCTCACTCTGACATTTTCCACAATGTGTAATGTGTGGCACAGTTAGTTGTTTTCGAACGTGGGCTTTGCATTTGTATGTACATGGGGGTGGAGGGCTTTAAAAAAAAAAGAAGAAAATTGTGCTTTCTTTTTATTTTTAATATGTCACTTACATTTTTTTTAAACAAGTCAACTATGTGATTTCACAGAGGAAGTGACAGGTCCTCTATTTGGAGACATCAGGGGTCTGTGTGCACACAACTTAAAACCAATCACAGTGTTCTTGTACAATGTTAATCTGAGGCATGTCTAGATACTGAATAGCTGTTGGTATGGTACTTTGCAAATTATGGCTAAAGTACTCCTATTTTTATCCTAAGATTTCCTGACATAAGAATTTCAAAGTACACACTTAGAGGTTTCTTTATCTTCTTGAGTGCTCTTGGATTCCACACCTGGGATAGTTAGTATGCAAAGAGTTCCCACACCTCTGTAATGTGTACCTCCTATAGGATAGATATTCTTGCCCGTTTTTATCAGTTTGAATGCTCTAGACCAGCCTTTCTTAACCTTTCAAACATGGGAAACCCTTGAAATAACTTTCAGGTCTCAGGAAACCCATCTTCAACTATATTAACAAACAACATCTACAACTGGTACATTAACATGAACAGTAAGTTTAGACATAAGAACAGAAAAAAAGGAATGTGGCATATTTGACACCCAGGGTTGGTCTATACAACAACATCATTTTTGGTAATATTAAAGAAACGAAACCAGCAATAATAATGGCCAAAAAAGAGAGGCAGATGGTGAAAATTGTAGTGTTCCCTTACATTGGTTGTCAGTGGAGAAATGCCCCATTACATTGATGGTCAGTGAGGAAGAGCCCCATTCACTTGTGGTCAGTGGCAGAAGGATCTTCTGGCCATACACCAGTAGAATTTTTTGTACAACATTTTTTTTTTCCAGAGTATGCGTTTGATTTTTTAGTAAATGGTGTCATATTGAGGATCGTTTTTGGCATGCATCTTAGCTCACAAGGAGAATGCATACAGCATGACCCAACATTGTATACAAATATATAACGCTCACTTAGTTGTACTTCACATTTTTGTTCCAGAATACAAAAAATTGTTCTGAGCCACCAGGGAGAACAGGACAGCACACCCCTGGTTAAATTGAAGCACAAAAAGAGAAAAAATTGGGCTTTTAAGGTTTCACTCTAGACATTGAGAACATATAATTTACACATATAACTGTTGAGAATTCATTTTTATTTTGTTAAATAAATACAGATAAACAAGGGCGGGCCAATGTATGAGCCCGTTGGTTGCACATCCACATCAACTTCCTAAACATAATACAATCTAAAATCACCATAGGCATGTAGCCTCCCTGGACCACACGGCCACATTCTAGGCATTAGCATTGTAGTAACCATTTTTAAATATTGATAAAAGTAATTATTGGGTTCATCATATATTTGTCAATAACATGTCAAAAAGTCTTGCGTTTCACTAAACAGCTTCCTCAGGAAGATAGGAGGCTGCCTGTAATATTTAAATATCATGGGTGTAACCACATATGACTATCTTAAGAATTGACAAAAACAATTATATCACATAGTGAACATATAACAAGCATCAAAAAATGCATAACCTTTTTATCAGGGTCTTAGTGGTGAATCAATCCATACCATCTTTATTTAAATTTCCATTAACTTTCTGCGTTTATTGTTAAATATGTCAGACAAGTGTAGAGTGAAGTTCCCCGAGTTACCAAAACCATGCTCAATATAATAGTTATATGAAAAGCAGATTTACCTGTTTCTAAAACTTTTCCAAGGAAAGCAGCAGGTTTGAACATTGCCTACTTTACTTTGATATAGTGTATGGACTAAATAATAATAAGAGATATTAACCTAGGACTTCCTTCTGCAGGTCTGGATGGGAATTTGAAGGCGCCACAATTGTTTACTGCCCCTCCAGAAAGACATCTGAACAGGTAACCTCAGAATTGTGTAAGCTGAGCATTTCCTGTGGTACTTACCATGCTGGCATGGGGATCAAGGCAAGAAGAGAGGTACATCATCGCTTCATGAGAGACGAAATACAGGTAAGAGTGCAGGTCCAATGTAAAATAACATGTTTTACCACTTGATGACCAGGCCATTTTTCAGTATTCAGCGCTGCGGTACTTTGACTGACATTTATTCCGTCATGCAACGCTGTACTGAAATTAATTTTATACCATTTTTTTGAGACCGAGCTTTCTTTTGGTGGTCTTTAATCACCACTGAGGTTTTTATTTTTTAATATATTAAGGAAAAATGATCAAAGATTTAAAAAAAAACAACTCCCCTTCAACAGGTTATGAAATATTTATTACTAGACAATTTTTTGGTAAAATAGAAAAAACAGGGTCACATCGGGTAAATAGTCACCAAACATGTCAAGTCTTAAAATTGCGTGCACCTGCAAAAAATCTACCATACCCAAATTGCCTATGGGTGACAATTTAAAAGCTTTTACCGCTCATCAGTTTTGTGTTATCAGTGATGGATGGCCCTACAATTATTGTTTGCACTCTGGCTTGCGCGGTAATATGTAACGTGCCGCGCAATCGTGGTTTTTGTGCGTAGTAGCCCCCGATGCTTATTTACATTTGTAAATAGGGAGCTTGCCATCCGCTTGTTTATTTATAACGGGTGGATAGCAAGCAGTTAAAGAATTTGCCATACATGAAAGTATATTATAACATTTTTGGGATTAGGAGATTAATTACAGACATTGACTGTTGGCTACAAAATATTTTTCTGTGGAGGTAAAAAAAAAAAAGAATGAAAAAAATATTTTGCAATGCTTATTGCCAAGTAAAAAACTAATGTCTTAACCCGTAGGATATAATAACTATGTAATAAATTATGACCATTATTTTTTTGCCAGTGTGTTGTTGCCACTGTTGCATTTGGTATGGGGATCAATAAGCCGGATATTCGTCAAGTTATCCACTATGGAGCCCCTAAAGAAATGGAATCCTATTATCAGGAGATTGGAAGAGCTGGAAGAGATGGGCTTCCGAGCAGTTGTCATGTTTTATGGGCTCCCACAGACATGAATTTTAACAGGTAAATATATGATCTGTTAAGGCAGTAGTTAGGAGAACATTTTTGGTTGTGTCTAAATCATTAAATAGTTACTCGGATGGTTTGGGTGTCAGGGCTTAATCTCACCTTGGACAGAAGTCTAAGCCCTATGTACAGTCTAAGCCTTGGATAAGGGAAGCACAGACACAGAGATTTATTTAAAGGCTCACACAGGTTGCACTTGCTCTTCAGTTCTGCTGTTACTACTTTAGGCCAGGTCAGGTTCACTTTAACTGCACAGTGGATACATGCTAGAAAGATACTATATTAGTTAAAGCATAAAATGGGAAAAATTTAAAGCTACCCTCGCAGTGGGGCTAACAACCACCTCCCCTCACTTCAAGGGTTACATTTTCTTTTTGTCTACAATACCATTAAAAAATAAGTTTTACTTGCGTTATAATCCCTCGCACCTGCAGACTTCCTGCCTTCCATGTGATTGGTCCCCTGAGGCACTTCTCTTTGTAGCTGTGCTCGGTCAGTTGCAGATACTCTGATATCGCGTAAAATGCAGGACCAGCAGTCCTGCATTGTAAGTGAAGACACTGAGGCCCTGCCCACAGTCTGGTGCATCTGAAAGAAGAGGAGAAAGTCCATGGACCCATCGCACGCCTGATCGCTTGCTCCACAAGAATCGGATGGGTGCTGCGGTACTCAACGGATGGCAACCGTTACATGTGTAGATAGAAACAGGGACACCGGCACTTCAAATGCAGTTCAAATGCATCTATTTATTGACTTAGATGCAGCATATCACACTGGTGCAACATTTCGGGGTCTCGCAGGATCCCCTTCCTCAGGCAAAACATTATCAGTAAATAGACGCATTTGAACTGTTCCTGTTCATTCATAACATGAGAACATAGTGTGCTTACGATAACTACAACTATGAATGAACAGGAGGTGATGTAGATCACTTCCCATTCATTCATAATTGAGGATTTAGTAAACATACTCTGTCCTCAATTATCTACAAACACTCAGTGATCACTGATCGCTAAATGTTTGCACTCACTCTCCTCTATGACACGCTGTCACAGGAGGCTGAGCAACCGGTGCAGGGAGTAGAGCTCAGCCTCCTGTGACAGCGCAGGCTGTCTCCGCCCACACACCACTCTGCCGGACTGTGATAGGAGGCTGAGCGGTGTGGGAGGAGAGACGCCGGCCGCTCACAGCGCTCTCCTTTCGCAGCGCTCGGCCGGCTGTCACACTTTCTCTCTGCGTCCAGCGGAGAGGAAAGAAGTCAGGGATGCGCCGGCAGAAAAATGGCACTTTCGGCATTTAGCCAAAAGTTCCATTTTCGGACGATATATCGGAGCATCCCTACTGGTACTGGGAACGGTTAACCTGGGTTGGCCTATAGTTTTTTAGTTTGCCAGTGTCCAATCCTCCTGTAGGTGACATTATACTATGAAGGTTTAAGATTTCATGTGTCCCTCAATGGATTTTAAGAAAAGTATTTTTTTGGCAAGTACAAAACATCTATTTTTAGTGGTACCATAAACAAAGATCAGCATTTAACCCTTCTCCATAGTTCAGCTTTAAAACTGAGGTTAACATTTCATGAGATTAAAACATTTTTTTTTTTTAAACTAATAAAATAGTCCCTTTCAGGCTACTTACTGTCAATTGGATTGCATGATTATTGCCTTAATTAACAGTAATATTACACACACATAAATTTTTCCTCTATCACAGATACACTTCAGTTTCCAGCGTGCAAGAATTTATATTGCTCCAAACTAGTGAATCGTCCATATTTAAAGAAAAGATGCACCTTTTATGATAAAAGTAACGCTTATGCTGCCTCTCACCCATTTTTGATTTATTGTCAGCACACCCAAAGCTATCTTTTTTCTACAGCATTTTTATAGTTGTTTTGTATGCTCAGTTGGTTCTTTGGTGTCGGCAGCACTGTACTTTACAGTGTAAGGATAGTGTGAATTTCTATGTGCTCTACAATTCTAAGGCTGGGTTCACACCTAGGCGTATCGAATATGCGCGTTTGTCGCGCTTTCGTGCCGCGCATTTTTATTGCGATTCGCGGCAAAAAACGTGTGACAAACGCACGTTTCCGAGGGCTACCTGGCTGTAACCCAATATATATACGCGCGGCAAATATGCCCCAAAGAAGCTCCTGTACTTCTTTGGGCGTAGGGCGTTTTGAAACGCGCTCATACGGCCTGTAATACTCCCAGGTGTGAACCATACCCATAGGAAATAATGGGATTTCGGTTTTTGAGCGTTTTGCAGAGCGTAGGAACGCGCTACAAAACGCCCAGGTGTGAACCAGGCCTAATTCTAACTATGCAGAAAGGATTTCCGAATGTGTCTTACCCTTGAAGATGTTTTGTGTAACGTGTACATCCACTGTTAAGCCACATACACCACCCAGCCCCAACTTAGTTTTTGTCAGAAAAAATACTTTGTATATCGGCCATATTTTTCAAACTTCTTTCTGTGGTTCGACTCATTGACATGCCATTCAGCCTAAGATTATAAAACTTTTTTCTTTAAGATTCTCACATTACTTCTCCAAAATAATTACTATCATATGCCACTCCTAATGTCTTTTTTATTTACAAGAAAAGCCTGACAAAGGTTCTAGTCTTTCCCCTGTCTAACAAAATGATTTGATGCGGTCTCTAACCCCCTTGGATAGATTTTCAACACTTCCCGTCCCTCTGACCTCTGTTAACAGGGCAGGTAAAGAAATCTCTTCAATTTGGTTAATCATCATACAACACCTGTCAGATGGTCTAAATGTCTCATATATCCAAAAACCAAAAAAGGTTTTTATTTATTTGCCTTGCAATTTGACATTATAAGTATTTTGGCTGGTATTGAGGCGGTTCAAAGGCGGCTGTGACCAGTATAAAAACATTTCTGCTATGCTTGGAGTATCTCTTTAATGGTATTTTTTTCTATTAAGGCACATGCTGAGTGAGATCCAAAATAAACATTTTCGGGAATACAAACTGAAAATGTTAGCGAAGATGGAAAAATATCTTCTTTCAAGCAATTGCAGGCGCAGGTATGATCCAATACTGATTTAGAATTTTATTTTATTAATAATGAGTTTAACGGAAGATACTGTATATTCAGGATGGTATCCAGACAACATGCTTTGTGTAAATCTGCATGAAATAAGCTTGTATGCTAATGTTAATTTGATTTGTATTAAAGGAGAACTATGAGGTGAGTGATTTTCACTCATCCTCATAGTTCTAGCCGACCTGTGACAATGAAACTGTCACAGGTCGGCTCAGTAGATCGGGAAGTGAGCGAACACATTCCGGCGCTCGCTCACTTCTCGATCCTGTCACGGCAGAGAGCCATGGGGGGTATAATGCGACACTTCAAAAAAGTAAAACAAAACAAAGTGTTTGAATATGAATGGTGAAGAACAGCTGGGGGAGGAAGGATTTGCTATTTTAGAGGGAACGTCTGGATCTGTTACATGCACTTTTGTAAATGTTACTTTTTGTCTTGAATGTCTCTTGAAAAATCGCAGTGCACTTAAAAATATGTGAGTGTGCATGGGTACATTTTGTAATGACACTTCTGTGCTGCTTACCGTTCCCCTTGCTGGAGGCTCTGACATTTGAAGGCAATCCATATTTTTCAAACTTCTTTCTGTGGTTCGACTCATTGACATGCCATTCAGCCTAAGATTATAAAACTTTTTTCTTTAAGATTCTCACATTACTTCTCCAAAATAATTACTATCATATGCCACTCCTAATGTCTTTTTTATTTACAAGAAAAGCCTGACAAAGGTTCTAGTCTTTCCCCTGTCTAACAAAATGATTTGATGCGGTCTCTAACCCCCTTGGATAGATTTTCAACACTTCCCGTCCCTCTGACCTCTGTTAACAGGGCAGGTAAAGAAATCTCTTCAATTTGGTTAATCATCATACAACACCTGTCAGATGGTCTAAATGTCTCATATATCCAAAAACCAAAAAAGGTTTTTATTTATTTGCCTTGCAATTTGACATTATAAGTATTTTGGCTGGTATTGAGGCGGTTCAAAGGCGGCTGTGACCAGTATAAAAACATTTCTGCTATGCTTGGAGTATCTCTTTAATGGTATTTTTTTCTATTAAGGCACATGCTGAGTGAGATCCAAAATAAACATTTTCGGGAATACAAACTGAAAATGTTAGCGAAGATGGAAAAATATCTTCTTTCAAGCAATTGCAGGCGCAGGTATGATCCAATACTGATTTAGAATTTTATTTTATTAATAATGAGTTTAACGGAAGATACTGTATATTCAGGATGGTATCCAGACAACATGCTTTGTGTAAATCTGCATGAAATAAGCTTGTATGCTAATGTTAATTTGATTTGTATTAAAGGAGAACTATGAGGTGAGTGATTTTCACTCATCCTCATAGTTCTAGCCGACCTGTGACAATGAAACTGTCACAGGTCGGCTCAGTAGATCGGGAAGTGAGCGAACACATTCCGGCGCTCGCTCACTTCTCGATCCTGTCACGGCAGAGAGCCATGGGGGGTATAATGCGACACTTCAAAAAAGTAAAACAAAACAAAGTGTTTGAATATGAATGGTGAAGAACAGCTGGGGGAGGAAGGATTTGCTATTTTAGAGGGAACGTCTGGATCTGTTACATGCACTTTTGTAAATGTTACTTTTTGTCTTGAATGTCTCTTGAAAAATCGCAGTGCACTTAAAAATATGTGAGTGTGCATGGGTACATTTTGTAATGACACTTCTGTGCTGCTTACCGTTCCCCTTGCTGGAGGCTCTGACATTTGAAGGCAAATCCCTGCCTCTACTAAGATGTCTTCACACAGACACAGTGCAGAACAAGGCATGGTAAGTCAGTAATGGGGAACTATCAGCTGCAGAGATACCACAGGCAATGCTTTCGATTAGTCCTTTGCCTAACTTTTATTGAAAGTTCTTCTTTAAAAAAAAAAAAATGATCAAAATAAATAGTAACAGTATTGTCACAATGTGTCTATGAACAAAGCTTAGAACTGTTTGCAGACTTTCTTCATACAGGAACTGCCATCAGCACTGCAGGGACATAGACTCGACGTGGCTGTCAGTTTGACAGCCAGTCCTAATGACTGCACAAAGCAGAGCAGTCACAACCATGGAGGAAGCCCTGGGTGTAAGAAGGACTCAAAGGGGATTCAGGTGAAATTGTATGCTGCACACCTAAACTCTTCACCTGGTTAATAAGATAGTGGATAGTGCATTTTCTATATGCAAAGTGCAAAAGCCATAACAACAAATCATTTATGTGTAGTCACATTAGTAAAATAGGAAATCATATTGGGCATTCTGTATAAGTAACTAGTTTATTAAAGGAGAACTATGGGATAAGTGTTTTCGCACATAGTTCTCCTCAGGGTCAAGGGAGGACATAAACTAGGTTCCTCCCCTGACCCAAAGCTCAATATACCGCGAGCTACAGCATACCGCGAGCGACATTACTGTCGACATCCACCCAGCTGCGTGATTGACAGCTGGCTCTGCCTATCTAGAGGCAGAGCTAGCTGTACCCGCCCCCTTCCATTCCGCCAGTCATCGCTGGAGGGGGAATCCCTGCAGGGAGCCGTGAGTGACGGTCACAGCTCTCTGCAGGGACATGATCGACAAGTGAGCGAGCGACGGTATGTGTTCGCTCACTTCCCAATCTATTGAGCCATCGTGTGACAGTTTCATTGTCGGCTCGAACTATGAGGTTGAGTGAAAGTCACTCACCTCATAGTTCTCCTTTAACAAATACAGTGTCCTGGAATGTATAAGCAACTAGTTTTATTAACTAACCCAGCATCATGGAATGTAAGACAGACTTTTAAATGTTGTAGCATAGATGTGCCCAATTCTAAATGCATTATAGTAATAATTGGAGGCTATAGGAGACTGTTTGTTTTCTGCCCTCTGCATTCTGCAAATATGTGGGAATAACTCCAATTTTAGATTGTGTATGGTAATGTAAAATATGTAATAAAAGCTGTTTTTTTTTCTTTGTTTGCTATGGCAGACTGATAGATAAATAGACAGAATAACAATGTTTCCTAAAGTTTTTCATAAAGTTGACATAGACTTTGAGTGACATCCCTTATATACAGTGCACACCTGCATGCCTTTCTGTAAGAATGACATCACTGTCTGTGAATTAAACAAAGATGAATAATTGTGTCCCCTAAGAACAAATTAATGAAGTTGGTTTTAGCCCATTGTTGTGCTCATTCAATTTAACGTGTAAATTCTTGTTCTTTTTTATTTACTTCACAATGCTCCCTTGTGTAGGATCATCTTGTCTCATTTTGAAGACAAACAACTCCGTAAGGCCTCTTATGGTATCATGGGAACTGAAAAATGTTGTGATAACTGCAAGACCAGGTAAAAGCTCTTCTCTAGAGGATGAGTGACAGGACAATTATATATTTTTTATTTTCAAAAGTAATAGAAACTATAAGTAAGATAAACCTGTTACCACCAAGCTCCCTGTTACTCACTTAATGGGCTATACTTATTAAAAGCAAGTTCTTAACAAAAGTAAAGCCAATCAGATTTAATTCAATTTTTTTTTTTAAACCCCTAATCTGGTCAGTCACTGGGCAATTTCTCTATATGTGCCAGCTGGTTACAGGAGACACCAACCAGCACATGACGGCACAATAGACTTATGTCTGAAAAGAAACAACCTGTAACTAAAATCAGATTCTTCAGTTAGTCGAAGAGCATTTGTGATGATGCTAAGTGTAAGATGCTCAGCCTGTACTGGGGTCCTGAAAGTGTGGTATTATTCTGAGTCCCTGATTTATATTGTGCTGTGACCCCCCCCAACTAAAGTTGTCAATAAAATCTCAGAAGAACGAATATGATTGGTGGTAATCAGGAAACTCGCTTCTTGTTTGGAGCTCAAACTTGCATACTGTGATTTCATTTTTATTGTGACCATTTTTGATACTGTTAACTTTGCAAAATCGCTTCTGAAAACCACACATATGTCAACTTTCTATATACTTGTTTGGAGTTATTGCAACACATTTACAACATGTGTTTTTAGTGAGTACTGCTTACTTTGTACATACTAGGATGATTGGGAAAGTAAACTGCCTCTTAACTTGTTATTTTTTTGCTCTTCGGTAAAAAACAATTGCTGTAAATTATATAAATGTGCCTATTGTTTGGTAGGTCAGTAATTCATTATTTGCAAGGTTTGAATGGCAGATTGGCCATGGCTATGTCTCTATTATTGAAGCCTTTTCCGTGATGTAATCTACACATTTTGACACTGCCATATCAGAGAATCTCTCAGGCAGAATGCCAGATAAATGCTGCTGCTTCCAGGAAACCTGAACTGTGTTAATGCTTTTTGCTTTTGCTATCATTCCTATTGTTATACTTTTCATCACATTTGCAGGTGGTATTAGCTTTCATTCTTTCCTTAGTGTTCTCTTTCTATGTTTTATTTCACTTACAGATTAAGCATTTTCTTTCTTTCTTTCTTTTTTTTTCTATTCAGAGGCAATTTAGCATCTTTTAGGTGATGAGTGCACTTTGCATGCCAGGCAGTAGCATTTACACATTTTTATGTAAAGCAAAACAGGGACTTTGAATAATAGAGCTGCATGAGGTTATCAGGGACGTGTTAAATGTAATTCTTTCTTGTCCATTAAGGGACACAGGAAGTCTTTTACCTTCAGGTTATACTGCCACCTACAGGAGGATTCGTCTGAAGGTTCTCATTCATCCAGGTCATGGTAGACATTTCACCGGTCATCCGACCAGCTTTCTCAATTCAGAATGACTTGTACAAAAATTATCTGAGAATAAATATGGTGAATGTTGCTTTAATCAACATGCTGGTGGGAAAAAAATAGCCACCAGCACAAAGGCCAAGGTGAAAAAAGTCAAACATCTCAGAGGGGCCCTTAAAACTTGCGGCTATCCAGACTGGGCCTCAGGAGGATTTTTAATAAACCTCACATCTGTGTCTGCTTTAAACCCAGCAATACACTGAGGCAACAACTGGTTCACCCAAAAGACCCAACGCCAAAACACAAGATGAACAACATTGTGTATGCAGTCCAGTGCAGTGAGGCGTGCTCAGAATTGTATGTCAATGAAACAAAATAGCAGCTACACCAGCGTATGGCATAGCATAGAAGAGCAAAACCCACTGGTCAGGATTCAGCAGTATACCTACATCTACAGGAAAAAGGTCACTTCTTTGAAGACAGTCAAGTACGCATCCTAGACAGAGAGGAGGACTGGTTTAAAAGAGGTGTGGAAGAGGCCATTTATGTAAAAATGGAGAAGCCAAGCTTGACTAGAGGTGGTGGGGGGGGGTGAGACAATGCAAATGCAGTCAACACCTTACCTCCATGAAGACTCTGATACCATGCTGGTTCTGTTTAACAGATTATGTTGATTGGAACAACATTCACCATATTTATAACCAGAGAATTTTTGTACCAGTCATTCTTAATTGTGAAAGCGGTCGGATGACCAGCAAAATATTTTTCAGAAAAATACAGCAAGTCCAGTTGCCTTGATTTATTTTTTGCAGATACAGGAGGATTAGACACTTGCAAAAAAATACTTCCACCCTTGTGTCCAACAAGGGTGGAAGTATTTTTTTCACCTTGTTAAAAGTCAAGCCTATTTTTTTTTTTCTGTTCGTAGTTTCTCATAATGTTTTTCTTCAATCAAGACTCGCATAGCTGCAATCGAAGAGACTAGCTCTAGCAGCAATCTGGTACAGCCATCCTCACCCTTGTTTTTGGAATGTCATGTCAGGCCTCGCTGGACTGGACATTGCGGGGTTAGCCTGAAAGTGACATTCAGGCACTGGGTTCTGCACAAGGTGCTTTCGAGACCCCTTCTTGGTAACAAAATAGCCATGGAGCACTTTCCAGGATGAGAGCTGCTGGTATTGCCAGACTCGCAGTGTTAATAGGCCAGTCGTGCCAAGCACCAACAGCAAACTCGTTTCCATGGAGCACCATACCCGCATGGTTTTTGAGGGACAATGTCTCATTGGACCAGCCCTTGATATTAGGAGCACCCACCCGCCTCAGAAAAGAAGCCTAGGTAAAGGTCTACAAATTCTTCTGCCTTTCATTTCTTTTTCCCTGGAGTATGCAAATCTAGGCCTTCCAACCTTGTTTTTATAGCCACCTGCAGAGTTTGGGGTTAAAAGCCTGCTATACTTCAAAGAGTAATATACCAGTGATACAAATTAACCTTTGTTTTTTGCTTCCTTTTGGGCTCTTCAACTCCAACTCACCACACAAATGAGCAGATCTCAATCTTTCCCTTTAGGGTCTTCTGTAGCAACGTGTCAGTGACCCAGTTCCTGTGACAAAACTCTTTCAGGGGTTGTACTCCAAGCTGGTTACTGTTCTCTTTCCTAAACAGAACATTGCCTCATATGGGGGGCCTGTAAGTCGTACAATTCCACATAGTATGCACCAGATCTCCCATTCCTTCCCTTCTCCAGAGGGAATTTTGAGCTTCTGTGGTCTGTTTGGGCGCATACCTACAAGTTCCTATTTTTTCATCCCCTGCATCCTGAGTGATCACCAGCATGCCAGCCCCTGTGTTAGCCCTATTGCATCCCCATCGTGGGACACTTGGGTGAAGTCCTGTTGAGAAAATAGTCAGCGCAGGCTCTTTTGGACAACTTCTCTCTAATTGCCTGGATGTCAGAATGATTCAGTTAGATTTCATAGAAAAATCGTTTATCTATTCAAATCCTTGTCCTTCAGTCCTGGGGTTGCTCGCCTTTCAGCTATTGCATGAGAGTCGTGGGTAACACTCTGAGGCAGCGCCTTTTGTTCAGTTTCACCCCTGACTCTCTCAGTACTACACCCTCTTATCTTGGGACAAGTTGGCCCAGTTTCTGAACTGTTTTACCTGCCCCTGAGGACCAGGTAGTCCCTGGTCTTGTGGATCAATTTCCCAGCTCTAGATTAGAGGAAATCCTTTTTCCCCACCTTCTGGAAGATCCTGAAATCAACTGCTAGCCTGTTGGGATGGGGGAGGAGGCATGGGCACCCTGCCGGTTCTAATCCGCAGATAATTCTCATTTCCTGCTCTACAGCCTTAAGTTTCAGGAAATGTTACCTGGGCTTGGAGTTAGCACAAGCCTGCTTAAAACTGTGACCGCTACTCCCCCCTCCTAACCCAATTAGGACCACAGTTGTGGCAAGTGCCTGCATTGGAGGTGAATCTGGAAAATACAGCATTATGGCCACTAAACTGAGCTGAGGAGGATCGTAGGAAATGCATATTAGTAAGGGGGTTCAATATTTTTAATTCCAGAGAACATTGGAGAGAATGAAGATGTCAGTGTAACTGTGATAAACAATAACTTATTTCTGTTTTGTAGATTAAAATATAACCTTCCAGTCAAAGATGTAGAAGACCGTGTTGAAGATTTTGGTCCACAGGCTCTACAGCTGTTATCTGCAGTAGAAGCTTTGGGCGAAAAATTTGGCACTGGTGTCCCTGTCTTATTTCTTCGTGGATCTGTAAGTATCTGCAGTACAATTTTAAATCCTATATTTGCTAAAATGTCTTACCACCCCACTGCAAGGCATCCATTATTATGGTTAGATCTACAGATAACATTCATTGTCCTGCCATTATTTTTGATATTTTCCTTAACTTTATAACTCAGCAACTGACATCTTATGCTGTCCTACATTTTTCTGCAGCTTTCTCTACACTTTGTATCCCACTCACATCCTTCTCTATCTTTATGTATCCTATTGCACACTATATTGAGCTATCCTGCACTTTTCTGTAACGCTATCGTTTTGCTTCACCCACATAGCTTTTCCACACCACTGTAATACAATTTCCTGCATTTTCCAGTGCGTGCAAAAAGAAAAAAAATCCATGGTCAGCAGAGCCAATGCATTGTGTTGTGATACATTGGGAAAAAAAAACTCTGGATGCTGCATTTTATTGTATTGATTTGTATTTTTTATCCAAGGCTGCAAAGTCCTCGAGAGGTGGATGTTACTGTGATGAAAAGAGACTATATGGAAACCTATAGAGAACTCAGAGCAACTTGTAAAAGTGTTCCTTCCTACATTTTCAAAACAAAGTAAAAGTGTAGCTATTGTTCAGCATTCTAATTCAGCATCTGTTATATTGAAATAACAAATGCTTGTTCAGAATATACTTGAATAAAACACTGCATAAATCAGAGCAAAATTACATACTAAGCAAACTCGGTTTGTGGCATGACCATGGAAAACCTGCTTATACAACACCCCTAGAATAAGGTGCAATGTAGTGGACAGGCAAGGGTAGATCAGCTATAGGGTAGCCCCCTCACCCTGCAGTCTTCTAGAAACCCAAAGATTTAGTGGACTGTGAAGAGCCAATGGTTGTAAGGCCCTGACAGAAGACATACTAGCCACTTACTGGTTCCAAGCTCTATTATATCAGATTAATTGAGAAGTACATGTTGAAAATAAAAAAAATGTCAATTAGTACTTTGATATTTTGGGGGGTTTAAAGCTTTTTTTTGTTATTCCTTAATTTATTGGTATGCGCTGCATTAGAGCGAGTTGGAATACGCTGCACAAAAATGCGATATGTAGGGATGTTCAGATACCAGTTCAACTGTTTCCAGACTTGTTGAGACTATTAAGACACAAGTCTACAAATAAATCTAATGGAAATTTGTTGGCTTTTTTGGTCTACTTCAATATTTTTTTTAAAGACTGAATTAAAAAGGATACAAAAATATGGTTATTTTGACAGGAGTATGGTAATATATCTAGGACTTATTTTTTATTCAGTGATTTGCAGCATGGAAAAGTGACTGAATTACAGTCTCTAAAGAAAATATATTTGAAATTGGCCTTTATGTCTTTCCAATTAGAATGTCAGTGTTATTTTAAAAAACTGCTCTTGATACAGTTGAAAGAAAATCTCAAAATGCAGTCTAAAGTTTATGTATCTGTGGTCTACCCAACACTGCCAAAACTATAACCACACTATGGATGCGTACGGGACTAAAGTAGGCCTAAAAATGTTTCCAAGATGCACTATAGGCCCATTCACACTGCAATGCACATGATTTAGTGCACATAACACACATGATGGTGTACATTTTAACACATGCTGCAATGTGTTTTTAGCACACATTGTTGTGCTTTATTTATTTTTACCTTTTTAATGTATTGAAGAAGAACTCTAAGCATATTAAACATTAACCCTTGCAGCTGCTAATTTTTGCTAGGATCTAAAATAAAAAAGATATACTCACCCGATCCTCAGTTCCGCAGAGGTGTTCGCTCACCTCTTTCCCCCTCCGCTCCGCATGTAGAATCTCTCAGCGTTCTCCCGTCCAGTGCAAGTGAATGATCCCTAGACCACCTGAACCCGGTGCAGAAGAGGCTGCGATGACTGGTCTACTAGCCAGACGGGACCGATGATCAGGAGAGTATCTTTTTTTTTTTTTTTTTTTTTATAGAATCTCTGGACCAAAATGAGCAGTTAACCCTTGCAGTGCAGGGGGTAGCCCCACTGCAAGGGTTAATGTTTAATATGACTAGCATTCTTTAATATGCTTTATTGTGCTTTTATACCTAGAGTAGAGTAAGTGCTGTAGCGTGTTGCAATGCAGCAAGCCGGAATGTGTTGCACAGAAATGCAACATGTTCTACTTCTTTTTAGCACACTAATGCAAGTGCGTCATACAGGATATTGCCTTGTTCCTGCCTTGGGACTGTTAGCCAACGCAGCCCAATGCTGCTGTTGTGAATAGGCCCTAAATCCTTTGAGTGAGAGATTTAGATGCACTGTTTATTTTGTCTACCTTCCTTCTCAAAAATGTTAAAGAATACCCAAGAATACAAATTAAATATACTGCAGCTTATCAGTCCTTAGATGTGGTGACTGCATTCATTTTCAGGTTTATAAAGTTTTCTGCAAGTATAGAAATGCCTATTGAACTTGCCAGAATTCCAGTGTCTGTAACTTTATGTGCATTGAACTGACATCTTAATGTTGTCAGCTTTCTCAGCTACCGTCTGTGAACTACAAGACAATTCCCCTTTATGTAATGGAGATGAGGAGGAGGGTGTTTGTAGGCCAAACCAGGAGGGCAGTCCAGGGTAATTACCCCGCTCCTCTATAGAGTCAGGACAGTGAGGGTTGACACCCTAGGACAGGAATGTTGCATTCAGATGCTAGGGAAATGTTAGAAACTACTGCAGAGGTTAGTTGCTTTTTAGTTGACCTACGTGCTTTGGAGCTCTACATTTGACATTGGTGAAATGAAGGTCTTGCAGTGGCTTCATGTTATGAACAAATAAGCTAATAATGCCAAACAATTGCTGCATTAAACGTTGTCAATTGTCCCATGATTTGCACAATACTGGAACCTTTGCATACGTAAATTAGTTTTCTCAGTTCACTTGTCTTTTCCATGTTACATAAAAATAAAGATTCTGTAAAGCGTCTTAGCATTAAATGCAATATATACATATTTAATAAGCCTTTTAGGCTATATATTTAAAATTCTTTCTACCTGATGAAACAATTATTTTTGTTTTTCCTACACCTGTACATTTTATCCCTCAGATAACTAGCTGCAGATGGGCTTTCAGACAGTCCCAAAATAAATCACAGGAGGGGGGATCAGGTTTCGTCTATTATCTGAAAAACTAGTCAGTCTGGTGAAGTGAAAGTTCTCCTGGGAACTTTCGAATTAGGAAGTTGCCATTGATGAAATTGTATACTGCCTTTGTTAGGATGAAAGATAAAGAGATCTCCAGAAAGGAAACCTCTAAAGTAAAAAAAAAAAGAAAAAAATAGGTGGTTTTCCTTGTCTGATCATATTTAATGAGATGTTTCTCAAATCAGTCTGCAAAGGCAGCAATCATTGTTCTGTAGTGTTCAATGTTTGCTGCTTTTAATGTCAAGATATCACTTTCAGTTAATTATTAGTCAGTGTTCCTGTTAATAAACCACTAATTATTCGTGTACAGTTTAGATCAAAACACAGTATGAGGCAGCTTTTCTGAACCAGGGTTTTGTGGAACCCTGGGGTTCCTCCTGAGGTTCCTTGAGCAGATTCACTGACCACCCATGCAAGGGACAATATTTCCCTAACCACCAATGCAAGGGGCGATATTCCACTAACCACCAATGCAAGGGGCGATATTCCACTAACCACCATTGTAAGGGCTTCCTTTTATTCTGACATATATTTTCATTTCAAGAATTTTGCTGAAAATTATTTTGTGCCAGTACAGGGGGGCGTTAAAATGAACTGCCCTGGGTGTCAAATACTCCAGGTATGCTAGATTATTTCTTCTTTTTTTTTTAAACCTTGCTACATTTTCTTGATTGCATTTATGTACTGTAGCTGTAATCAATTGTAGCAGGGGTTCCCTGAGACTTGGAAATTGTTTCCTCCGAGGTAAAATGATTGAGAGGCTGCCCAAGCACTTGTTCGGAAGCAAAATGAACTACATCTTGAAAGCGCAGCTAATATATCTGAAGTTTCTAGGTACTAAAACAGATTTTATAGAAGGAATTAAAGGAGAACTATGGGGGTCAGGGCTTTTCCCCATAGTTCTCCTTAGGGTAACAGGAGGACACAAACTAGCGTCCTCCCGTCACCCTAAGCTCAGTATACCTCGAGCTACAGCTCTGCTAGAACTATGAGGTGAGTGAAAAGCACTCACCTCATAGTTCTCCTTTAAAGGCTTTATTTATCTGTGAAGGTAAATGGAACTGTCAGAAACTGCTAGTGCAGGCTTAGATGTTGCTTGTCAGGAAAACCCACTACCATGCTTTTTTTGACCATTAAAGTGACCCTGTCAGCACAGTACAAATGTACACACTTAAATGTAAAACCCAGCAGCTGCATATGCTTACCTTTTGGGAGGCCTGTTTATTGAAAAGCCACCGTTTCACTGCCCACCACCATCTGCAAATTACACATTTGTAAAAGTCCTGCTCCCTCAACACTTGCTGTGATTTCTCCTGCTGGCTCATACATCACTGTAGGACATACAAGCTGGTGGGGAAAACAGGTATTCAACCCATCTATCACCCTTGTGGTAAGCCAATAAATGACTAAGTCCAGACAAAGTCTTTTATGATGAAACACGTCGATTGGCGGGCACTTGTTGAGGTCATTTATTGGCTTATCACAAGAGTGATACATTGTTTTACACTAATATATGGATACACACTGTTAATCTTTTTAATCTGCATATATTTATATGGATTTGTACAATCGTTCACATTCATTGTGTGGCAGATAAGTTGCGCTCGGTTTAGTTGTGAATGGGTCTGAAAGTGATCTCTCAAAACCAAATGGGGGAGATCACCTTCAGATAACAAAATAAAATAAAAAATGTTAAATATAAAGTAGATGTCTCCACTAGTGTTAGTGAATTAGTGGTTGAAGCTGCAAAACACAACCCGGTGGTACTTGAGTGTATTGTATGTGTGTGGTGAGCTTTAGCTGGCTAAACAAATCAGTTATATTGAAAGCATCCGTATAAGCATAGTCATGAAGCAATAATATGTGAATAAACAATCAATAAAAGCACCTATATATAAAATCCAGTAAATAGTTAAACAACAAGTGATACGTTATAAAAAACGAAAAATAAAAATACAAAATAAAGTGCAGCCCAGTGCGCTCTAGTTCTTCTCAAAACTGGAACTACGGGGTTAATAGGCTCAAATACAAATATCCTAAGCAGTCATTTCAGAATAAATGGTCCTATATCCTTCTAACTTGTGGTAAGGGTCACCTAAGTACCTACGTTAGACAGTGGTTGTATAGAGAGGTAGGCAATCGAGGATCGACTGTTTGTTTTAATTTATTATGTCCTATATTCTTCTATATTGTGAGTCAAATTAGTAGATCTGTTAGGAAGTAATTATATAGAGGGGTAGGCAGTCAGAAAGAGCGACTATTTATACAGGAAAATATATTGTTAACATAAGGGTATGTTCGATCGAATTCTCATATGCTTTATACATGGTTGGGAAGAGAATATAGATTATATATTATGCACTATATTAACTTTTTTTTAAGATTCCATAGAGTATAATCTATATTCTCTTCCCAACCATGTATAAAGCATATGAGAATTCGATCGAACATACCCTTATGTTAACAATATATTTTCCAATATATTTTCCTGTATAAATAGTCGCTCCTTCTGACTGCCTACCCCTCTATATAATTACTTCCTAACAGATCTACTAATTTGACTCTTATCACAATATAGAACAATATAGGACATAATAAATTAAAACAAACAGTCGATCCTATTTTGTTATCTGAAGGTGATCTCCCCCCTTTGGTTTTGAGAGATCACTTTCACACCCAATGACAACTAGACCGAGCGCAACTTATCTGCCACACAATAGACTCACTTACACACATAGTTGCTGCTGGTCTATTTAGATTTTGAGTCACTCATTCCCAGCGCAGTGATTTTTGATTATTACATTCACATTCATTGTTTTAGCGCAGTGCATTTTGTTATAATTATCACAGGGTTTTTTCTACAACACTAATTCAGCACAGCAGCTTATTCGTCCTTTACCTTAGCGCAGGTACTTTTGATAATAATTCAACCCATCTGACCAGTCAGATGGTTACAGAGGACATGGAGCAGTGAAGTGGTGCTTTTTCAAGAAACAGGCTGCTGAAAAGGTAACTTTATGCAGACTTTTTTTGAAGCTATGTTTTACATACAAGTGACCCTGTGTTGACAGGGTTACTTTAATGTACAGCCCTGCGTCTTTCATTACTCTGGCTGTTACACAAGCTGAAGCCTGTGTGAACAAGGCTTAAAAGATAAGTGCAGGGCACAGCAACCTTTTGCACAGACCGTGCAAAGCGTTCAGGAAGCTTGGCAGTTTTGTTGAAGCCATTTAAGAAATCGTTAGTTCCAGTTTGGGAATGTTAAATACAGATCTTAATAGGAGTACTGTCCCTTTGCTAGCAGGCTTTTACAAATCTAACACGTTGCTAGCAGGCTTTTACAAATCTTTAAGTAGTGTGAAGCTTAGGCCGGCCATACACTTTTAGAATTTTTTTTTGAACGTTCACTCAAAATTGTTCATCAAAGCATTTGATTTTGCCATTAGGGCTTGTCCACACCAATTGTGGTGCTTTCCAGAGCGGCAGCTGCTGGAATGCACCGCAATTGCTCACAAACCTTCCCCCTTCGTTCTGGGGCGGGAGGGGGGCGTGGCGGTGCATTTAACCCTTTCCTTTTTAACACAAAGAACAGTGTTTGTATTGCTGTCTGTTTCTCTGAGAGAAAGATTTGCTCTTACTTTCTGTTCTAGGGACCTGACACAAAATAAGGATACAACTCTCCAGCAGAGATACAGACAGAAAAAAATAGGTTCTATCCTTTCCAACACTACTAAAAAGTGTTTCTCTTCATATGCTTCTGTTGGAGAGTTTTCCTTTCACTTCCTGTTCTTGTGGCAAGAAGTCTGTCGGAAATCTCCCCAACAGGGAGATTTGGTTGTTTGCTTCGATATCCAGTTTTAGCCTCTCCGGGCCTCATTCATGAAGGAGTCTTACAATCTAGGTATTAGGAAGAGTGTCCAATTTATAAATGAAGTCGTGTTTGGAAGTTTTAAAAATGTCTTTTATCCAGGCAGCATTTCATAAATCTGAGGTTTGACATGAGACAGGTTTCTGCCTTTCACGATGAAACTTTAGATGAACCCTAAGGGCCCGTTCACACCATGTAGTGCTGGAGCACAGGACATTGCGGTACCACACGTTCTGGTGCAGGCAATCGCACTGAGGACCAGAGGCGTGTCTGTGGTGCCAATGAAATTAATAGCACCACCATGCCCCCTCCCGCCCCTGAAAGCTGGGAGGCTTTGATCGTGCCATCCAGTGCGTTCATGCCACGGGACTGTGCAATGAACGCACTGGATGGTTTGAACGGGCCCTAAAAGCATACATAAACACTCGGCACATGAGCATGTGTCAGTCCAAGTGCTTTGGCTGAGAGAGAATTTCTATAGAAGGGTCTAGAACAACTTACCAGACATAACGTCTGCAGAAAAGTCATATTTAATGTTAGTTGCAGTGATGTAGGCCTTGGCAGCCAATCATATTGTAGGCCATATGAAAATTTCTTGTAAATAGGGGCCTGCAAGCTTCTGTTTTTATTTTGAAGTGCCTGCTGCTTGTTCCCAGCTGCAGTTCTAATTAAATCTGCTAAATGAAGCTTGTGCCTGGTCTGATCCTTTGCTATTCTACTTTAGCCTCCAGATATATAATATTGAATTTCCGAAGTAATTGCTCATTCATGAAGTTTATCTCCGCCAGTTTGTAAGCCTGGCACATATCCTATAGATCAGGGGCGCCCACTACTTTTCATCTGGAGATCTACTTTTCAAATGACGAGCTCATTGAGATCTACCAACGAACAAACACCTGCATTCATGAGCGGGAGGGGGCGTGGGCTGCGCAGGCAGGCCCCTCGCCCACAGTGCGATCGCCTGCATTAGTGCCTGTGTTCCAGTCCAGTGCGATCCGCAAAAATGCCGCGAGCACTATTTTTGCAGATCGCACTGAACCGGAATGCAGGCACTAATGTGCCTGCGTTCCGAGTGCGGGCGATCGCACTGTGGGCGATGCCATTGACTTCAATACAGCTCCACACCCCCTCCCGCACCGGAACGCAGGGAGTCGGCCTGCTTACATTCCAGTACATTACAGGTCCCGGCGTCCTGTCCTCCCGTGGTGCTCGTGTGGCCGACGTTGCACATGGGGTGTCCTGCACCTTTCCATCTGCAGCGTCTGACACATTCAGCCGGCAGCCGCACGAGCACCACGGGAGCATAGCCGTAGCCAGCTCCTTTTGCGCCTGAGGCAAGAAAAAAAACAAAGTTTTTTTAATTTATTTTTTACTATTTTTTATTTTAATTTCATTATTTATTTTTATTTATTTTAAATTTTCATAATTTTTTTTTTTTTTCTCTTGGGGGGGCTTCGGGGAAATATTAGGGGTCTAAAAAGCCCCCTGATATTTCCCTTTTAAAATAGAAAAAGAAATTGAGGACACAAAGTCCTCAATCTCTTTTTCTGCAGCCTCTATTCTAAATGAATGGAAAGCACAGAGGCTTCCCATTCATTAAGAAAATATTTTACTATCAAGCTGTTTCTGAATGGGGAGGAGCCTCTGTACAGAGTGCTTCTCCCCATTGAGAAACTTATGAATGAACAGGAGGTGATGTAAATCACCTCCTGTTCATTCATTTATAACTGGGGACACATAGTACTATGTGTCCCCAGTTATTTACAAACACTGGAGTGATCAGCCGATCGCTCCAGTGTTTGTCCTACACAGAGGATTGGTACATACTAGTGACATGTACCGATCCTCTGCCGCTCGTCCACGCACAGGGGGGCTGCAACTTCTCTGGATCCCCCTGCTCTCCCGGGCAGAGGCTGCGGGGGATAGGACGAGCCGCGCGGGGGGATGGGGCGGAGCCGCTGTGACAGAACGGACGAGCAGTGAGGGGAGAGAGAGGCGCCGGCTGTCAGATCCTGGCCGAGCGTCTCTCTCTCTCTCCCCACTGCTCTGCATTAGTTAGTGACAGCGGCTCCGTCCTCCGCCCTCCCCCGCCGCCGGTTCCTTCACTTCTTCTCGGATCCCCGCTGGGGAGAGCAGCGGGGATCCAGAGAAGCGGCGGGAGGAGAGGACATGGCGATCTACCAGTGATCGCTACGCGATCGACTGGTAGATCGCGATCGACCTTATGGGCACCCCTGCTATAGATCATTTGTCAGGATTACTTTGTGTTTTTTGTTTTGTTTGTTTGTTATATGTTTATACAGCTGATCTCTTCTGAATGTAGTAACTGATACAACATTTTTGGGAGGGAGTAGGCCCTTACTAGTTTTTATGGTAGAAGTTTATGCTGAATAAGTGAGAATTTCATTATATAGGGGGCACAGAATTGTTTCTCCCTAGGAACCCTGTTTGTTTAAATTTAAATCCTATCACTATCCTAAACTAAAATCTTTCCATAGATCTATCCATAAGCGTTGATTATAAATATATTGTGAGCTTTCCTTCTGTGAGGATTTGTTTTTGTTACACATTTCACAAATAGATATAAGATGTTTTTCTTCAATGTAAGACAATGTTTTTATATTGCAATTATAGTTTTCTCAGCGGTTACCAGACCGATATCGTTGCCATCCTCTGTTTGGTCGGGGAAAATCTCAGACTGAGGTTTTCTGGAAGGCTTTGGCACGAGTGTTGATCACTGAAGGCTATCTCCAAGAGTCCACTGGTCACAGCAAGTTTGCAACTACATGTGGTCTTACAACCAAGGTAAAATTTTAAATAGCAATTTAATACAAGAGCTGCTAATATTGTCCAGGAAGCATTGCACAGTGTTATAGGTGGAGGGTCCAGTGATTTTACCTGTAAACTGCGTTTTTGCAGTCAAGTAAAATAACAAGACAGCTAGATTACAATAAACAGCTGCAACTGATTCGGAGTGGGTAAGTTTCTTCAAGGCAGATTATTCTGTGCAGCTTTCTTTCTTTCTGTCAGCGATATATTAAGGACATGGTGGGTGGCATCAGTTGAGGTTCCCAGAACCTAAGATTAATGGCATCCAGCTGATTGTATGTAGTGCAGTACAACTATGCAGGGATAAAAGCCAAAAGCCTGGGCATGTAGAGTAAGGTCCTTAAATGCATATCATTTTCGTTTTGACCAAACTGTAGCTTTAACTGGTGCATAATTGGCCCCTGCTACAGACATCTTTAGTCACATTCACTGTCTTACTAGTAACCCTAAAATGACTACATGTGCGTATGTGGCACTGTACTATCTATACAAATGAATACAACAATCATGTGTGATCAGTAGACGTTACTGTTTATATTCTATAATATGGCGTAGATATTGTATATGAAATGAGATTAAATAAAAATGTATTCTTGAAAAATCATGTATGATCAGTACAGGTTTTTCTGCATCTACCTGGTATGTGTATGATGCTTTTAAAGCCAGAGAAAAATCTACATATTAGACATGTACAGAAAAGCAGCAAGCAGTAGCTAAAATGGGTCTTCACGTTTGCATGTGGGGTAGTGCATATTGCACTGAATATTTTTTCTTATTGGATTGGTTCTGTAAACTAGTACACTTGTTTACATTGTTTTTTATGTAATAAATTGCTGCAAACCCTGCTGTGTTTTTTTTTTGTGTGAGCAAGACCTGAAGTTGATGAACCTTTCAAAGCACCTCAAAGCAAGTGATATGTTGGTATCTCTTTGTTGCCTAATAATTGCTATTTAATTTGGAAGTGACTTGCTTTGCATAACAAATTAATCTAAACCTCAATAAAATACTTGAGTTTGAGCTGCCATCACAGGTCCAAGGTAGTGCAAACTTTGTATTTTGTTACATTCACCTTTTCTACTGTCTGTACTTTGGGACTCAGAATAAGGAAAGTGATCGTCCTCACATAGCTGTTTCGTTCAATGGGGTTGATTTATTAACAATAGAGACTATTTGAAAAGTGTACAGTATGTTCACTTTGCAGAGTAAAGATAGTAAGTAAGGTGATCCTGTGTTGACTTTGACTACCCAATACTCAATGTCCATTTATAGGTTTAGCTACAGTGTAGAGCAGGAAAGGTTGGCCTTGGGGGAAAAACATAACAAACTAGCCCTTTCTTGGTAGGAACAGGTTTTTGTGGGCTAAAGAAAATCTGCCTTGTAAAGTTTGTCATGGTGCTTTATAGGACATGGTGAAAGCTGGGCATTTCTAATTTAAAAAAAAAGAATGGCTTATTGTGACACATCTTTCAGCATATGATTCACTTGAAGCTTTTGGAGTTTATCACATGACATCTCAGAGTTCAGGGGTGTAGAAATAAAAAAAAAAAAGTTCTTGTCCAAGGACTAAAGTAGGGGCCCAGTCTACTTCTCTCTCACGACAATTAACGTACTTGCCGTGATACAAAAAATTATTTTAGCCAAAACTATTTGACAGTGCTAATTTGCAAGCGAAATTCAGAATACATGGCACAGGGCAGCACTGGATGGCAGTATGGGGTACAGATAGTGCACCTCTACCAGGTGGAGGGGAAGGACTGCTTGCTGAAAGGTAAGTATAGCAAGAAGGCAGGGGGAGAGTTGGCCAGATTTGAGCAGGTAATTCCATTTTCTCAAATTACTTGGTAAAGTGAACTTACTCTGTAATGTGCATTGTGCGCGTTAGAGAGCACTGCTGCCACAGTGAAATGGGGGCAGCACTAAGCGTACACACAATGCCCTACACGTGTGTTTATTTGCATGCAGATGGCGGGGCAGTGGGTTTTACTTTTTTAATAGCTTTTTTTAACTTAAATTTTTCTTTTTTTTAAATTTTTATTTACTTTAATTATTATTTGTTGTTATTTTATAATTTTTTTCACTTTTTTTAATTTGATTTTTTTTCACTTAGCCCATGTGTTATAGAATTTGGTGGTGACAGGTTCTCTTTATTGAACCTGTCACCTCCAATACAGGAGTTCTAGCACAGTTGTGAAGGGAAGGCTTCGAGCGCAGCTCTCCCTTCTCAGTGTTTACACGGAGCAGAGTGGAGGATGGACGTTCTCCGCTCTCCAAGCTGATTTAATTTGCTGTGGTCCCGGATCCCCCAGAAGAGCGGGTGACCACGGCGGGGAGAGAGCCGGCGGGCAGTGACCGAAAAATGGGCAGTGACCAAGATGGCGACCGTGGAGAGATGCAGCGGGCGGGTAGAGAGGCGGTGTTCGCGGAGGGGGAGTGACAATCAGGCTGCTTACAAGTGACAAGTGATCTTAAGCGGCTGTACATCTGCCCGAGATTATTTGTACAAAACGGCTCCCCTCTACATTTAGCCCTGCTGCTGGCCTGAAGCAGGGCTAAAAGCCCTGCTGCTGGCCTGAAGCAGGGCTAAATGTAGTAAAAAAACGACCTGGTGCACGGAACTGCATGTCCCAGGCATCGGGCGATAGGAATTCCACACCCCTGAAGTTGCAAAGGAAGTTAATGCTGGACTCCTCTCTGCCAGACACTGCTCACAAGTCTGACTGGGAAGATAGCTTTATAATGCCCATCATGTGCCACTGACTGCTGGTCCTGCCCTGATTGATGTTTAAATTGTGAATGATTGCCACCAGCTGAACATAAGTTATTAGCCACTCATTGCCACCAGCTGAACATAAGTTATTAGTACTGAGTCAGGGGGCAAATGCCCTCAGCCCAGCCATGCCTTAGTTTAGAGATCAGATGAGTACTGATTGCAAGGAAGGCATTAGGGATTCGTCTACATGAGCATTTTCCTTTCCATAACTGCATGTTTGGAATTACAATTTATGGGGGAATGCTTCGGGATTAGATACATTTATGAAGAGGCTAATTGCTTGTTGTGGTCTGTTTGATTACTCAATGGAGACCGTTCAGATTTTCAAAATAACCTTCCTTGGACATAAAATGATTGCCATTTTTAAATAACAAATTTAGATATTTGTAAAAGCCTGGTAGTTTTTCAGGGGTCCATTTATAATAGACAGTGGATATAATATTGATGATCTCCTATTTTCCAATTGGTCTGTCAGGTCAAAATTCTATTAGTAACTTTAACTGCTTGGATTTGTGTTTGACTATTTTTTTTTCCTGCCGTTTACAGAGCAGGAACTGGATGAGTAAAGCCACGAATGAGTCCAGTCCAACGCTGCTTCTTCAGCCAAATGAAGAGTTGTGTTCTAACAAACCCACTGCCGTAAGGTAACTTGTCATTAAAATCATAATTTTATCTGTTGCACTACTGCAGACTAAGGCAGGTAGCTGATCAGTTTTTATATAATGGCAATATTTTATCAGAATAACTTCACTAGAAGCAAAAGGAATCTATTAAAGATTTTGAGGAGAATATTAGATATACTGTACTTTAAAGGAACCATCAATGATAATGAAAAGACTAAGAGAACTGCAATATATGTAAATAGAGGGAGGAGTCCGACTAGGGGCTCTCCGTAAAGGGAATAAAGTTGTACCTACTTTACAATCATTGTCATGTATGTTCATACTTTAATTAGTACATAATGCATTAAATTATTCCCTTATTACCCTTGCATTTTTAAAGATATCTTACTGTTCCCTGCCATATGCAGGGATACAGTCATACTGTACTAGACTAGGCCTACAAAGGTGGTTAAATCTCTTTGCTACTGAGAGATTTGGCTGCTTGTTAGTAGCTTTCACATTTGCAGCACACTGAAATCAATTTGATACTAATGAGATATCAACAAGCAGTTAAAGAAAAACTGTACTTTTAGTACACTTGTTCTTTAGCTAAAACTGCACCTCCAGAGTGCAGCCCGTCTGGTTAAAAAAATGTACTTTCCTTCCCGTTCCCACCGTCTTCACTCTGCGGTTTTTCCCGATGCTGAACCGACTTTGCAAGGAAAACGTTCCACTGGGTCCTATTACTACTACACATGTGTACTGTGGCCTCATTCATTCCTTTGGATAAGCCGTACTCCATTGGGGGGCTCCCATGGGTACAGCTCATCCATTAACATGGAACAAGCAGCGGCGCATGTGTGCTGCAGGAAGAATACCCTGTCAGGATGTTTTTCTTCTAAACGCTGTGCAGCATAGGGCACTAAAAGTGCAGTTGTCCTTTTAAGGCCTCATTCACATGAGAAAAGGCTGGCACGTGCAGCTTCGTGCTGTGTGCACGGCCGTATCGGGCGGCTCTCAGAAAGGACAGGTGCTGCATGTGATTAGTACGCAGCCCCTGTCCTTCTCTACGGGAGTACGCGGCCATTCACCATCCTACACTCACCCGCCCTGCACGTCCGTGCGGGTGTCCGTACTCGTACGCTGACAGGATGAATCCCGTCTGCGTCCGAGCCGGGACACCCGCACCCATACGGACCTGCACTTGGGGTGAGCATAGGGTGGCGTACGGATGCGTACTCCCATAGAGAAGGACAGGGGCTGTGTACTACGAACTGCGCATCACACGCAGCAATGTCCTTCCCGGGAGCTGCCCGATATGGCCGTGCACGGAGCTGTTCGTGCCGGCCTTTTCTCATGTGAAGGAGCCCTAAATCTCTTAGTAGCAAAGAGCTTTCTTCCCCAATATGGTCTTAGGCTACTACTGCCCAGAGAATTCGACATTTCAAAGCATAGATCTGCCTGCTATTGGTTGTTCACAGGTGGTACTGATGACCGTAAATGGTCTTGAGTTTTTTTGTAGAAATTCCTTGGAGATTGACTTACAGCTTGTTTTTTCAGTTATGAAATCTACATTTAGATTAAAGTAGGTAATGTCTTTATTCATTTTTTGCCTTTAATAATAGCTTTTCTGAGAATATTGCTTTGAACCAAATAAGGAAATTATATCTTTAACAACTGCACTTTTGAACAGTTTACAGCCACGCTCTCCTGTGGTCATTCAGCCGTCGCCTCATAGAACATCCAGTAAATCTGTTACTGACCTTCAGGTTAGTTTTATTTTTTCACAATGACTGCTATTTTAGGTGGCTAAGTCACTTTTTAAGCTATATATCCTTTTCATGATATAAATAGTAAATTGGTCAAATGTAGACATTTTCCCCTGGTATTTTGGGTACCTGCTTAGAAATGTCATGTTCGTTTTGTTCACGCAGCAGGTTTCTTTAAACGCTGGTCTGCATATTGCTGGACTTAACAAATATATGGGTTTTGCCTAGTTAACACAGCTCCCGTGTCTTTATTTAAAGCCATTATTTTCAAGAGTGATTTATCTACTTTGCCAATTTTTGCCTACTTTGCTAATTTGCCAAGAGGACTCGTTTTCAGAGATGCGTGTTCTGTTGCAATGATCCTTGATTTATTACCCCTACCCCAGATGGGACTGGGCATGTCATGCCCTATGGTATATACCTTCAAAAGCAAGTCAGCAATGGTAGCTTCCATGTTTTTGTTCTGTTCAGTAGCTTTTAACATTTTTTGTTTGTGTGGCTGCAAAAAGGTAAATTATTGTGTGAAATTGCATGCATTTACAGAAACTTTCACTAAAAGGCAAGTTCTCCTACCAAGAGGCTGAGAAGCTTCCTAAAGTGGAATCCTCTAAAACCAGGTACATTTCTATTTACAATAAAAAAAAACATGCAATACAATGAGTATATGATTATCTTAAACCAGACCTTGCACTAAAATGCAACATCACCAACTCAAGAGAAAAATTGCTGCAAAAAATATATAATTACCTTACACCTGGCTTTCGCTATGGCACCTAGCAAGGGTGACACCACAACCCTTCTGGGGAGATCTGGGCACGTTAATCCCAAGTTTTATGAAGACACACTACTTCGCTGTGCTGGAGCCTCTTCTTGCGAGATTTTTAATGCTCAGCGTTCCCAGGTTCTCGTCTGAAGGATTGCATACTGAAGGATTGATACTGAAATTAATTTTTATACCATTTTTTGGGGACACATAGCTTTCTTTTGGGGTTTTCTATTTTTTTTTTACTATATAATAAGTTTAAAAAAAATAAAACAGTTTTCCCTTTATTATGAAAGCTTCACCAGCTTCTCTGGCTTCTGTAGCTGGAAAGTGACAGCTGAATGCGGAAGTGATGTAATAAACATCACTTCCACACTCACAACACCGGAGGGGAGATCAGAAGAACTGAACTGATCTCCCTGACCAGCCACAGTGCTGGTCCCAGGCCCGCACGGAGCACATGGAAACCCGGGATCGTGCGCGCGCGGCGGTTGGTTGTTTCGCACGAAGGCACAACATTCAAGCGATCGGGCAGCTCCACAGATGCTGGACCGCTTGTATGTAAGCAGCCGTAGGTGGCTGTTTCAAATTTTGACAGTTTCCCCGCTTGTGTGCGCCAGGCACAAGGGACGTTTTAAAATGCCCACCCACAGCTAGAAGGCCTTAGTCCGGCCAATTATGTACATTTGGATGGTGGTTAAAGTCACACTAAACTCAGGAGTTAAATCTTAAAAATACATTTAAGTAGCTTAACGGTTAACAAAAATGAAGCTTATGTTTGCATCACTCAGCTGTAGATCCTCAAATCATCTCTGAATTGGTGCTGACACTGTCCTTCCTTCTGGAGGGTGCTTACATTTGTTCCCCATGGTCCCTGTGTGACCAAAAGTAGCCACCCTCCAGAAGGAAGGACAGTGTCAGCACCAATTCAGAGATGATTTGAGGATCTACGGCTGAGTGATACACAAATAAGATACATTTTTATTAATCGTTAAGGTACTTGAATGCATTGCTAAGATTTAACTCCTGAATTTAGTGTCACTTTAATTTTAGTGCAAGGTCAGCAACCCTAATGTCTGCATTGGTCCACCTACTTATTACCTTGACTTATAGCAGTGCGTTCCTTTATGTCTATATCAATCTGAAAGTTTATCTGTTTAACTCATGTCTAGAAAGGCGGTTAGTTAAAAATTGAAACAGTATACAGATACAAGGCCATATTTATTTTCCCCCTATAGTTCATTTTAAAACATTTTGTGTATTTATTGTGTGTTCTCTTTAATTTCTGAATTAGAAGCAGTTTGGGAATTCAGCAACCATGTAAGCCACCTGAACCCACAATTTCAGCAAGAGACCTCGAACTGCAGGTTTGTTGTCAACTTTGCCTGTAAATTTTATGAAACGCTTGCTTTTTTTATTTACAGTATCCATTCTTAGAGTTTTGCATTTACTAGTATGAATAATATAATTACATCATGGTAAATGTTTTAGTTTTGGTGATATGTTAGTACAAAATTTGCATTCAAAGGGTATTAGGCGTGGGTTAAGATGAAGGATCAATACAACAATCTGGGGAGGCCACATTTTCAAGACAATATTCTATTTCATGAAAGACCTATTCAGGCCTCAGCATTGCATTAATTGAATTGAATTCATTGTGAGTCTCTTGTCACCAAACCAAATATTCATGCTGACAGTTTGCAGGCCTCTATAGCTCTGTAGAAGCATTTCAAAGCTGAACTCTGGGCAAAACAATTCTTTGGCAATTACTTGGTTATTTTCTCTTTTTTTTTCTTTTTTCCATGCTTTGATTGTAGATCCTAAAATGTTACTGGCTTACTTAATGGTGACCAATGACAGTCACAAGTAACTTATTTCCTTTATACAAGGCCAGTCACCACAGCCTGCTCCCTAGCTCTTGGGTGACCGATCTTGTCACTACCTTCCCAGCGGATCAGTGTAAGAAGTGCTAATAGCATTGCTGCCTGCAGTCCAAAGAGATGAGCATCGTGTCTGAGCAGATGGTGCTTACACTGTCTCCCCTACCCAGCTCAGCTCCCCCTGCTCAACATAGATTCACCCTCCCATTCGGTAAGGCTCTTTGCCTATTGCCACTGCCTGCTGAGCCACTTTGCTTACTTGCTTTATGTTTATTGTAGAAAAGACGGGAGTTCTCTGCTCCCTTGTTCCTGCCGGTGCAGCTGTCTGCACACCCATTCACACAGCCCTGGTTCTTTAAATGTAACTGTGTGTAGCCTGCCAGGGACAGAGGAGTAGAGCTCCCCTGTTTTTGCTGCAGGATGATTCTGGACACTAAATAAAACCAAACGTTTTTACAGTCACGTCTGACACTGCCGTTCATTAATGATAAACTTAGAGAAAAGGGAAGTGAGTTGGAGAATTGTGAAGAGGAAGAACGGTGATGTCCTACCCAGGACTCTTAGATATCTGTGTGGATGGGTGTGCAGGCAGTAAATAAAGCAGTGTTAGCAACCGGTCAACTTTGTTACTGACAGAGATATTCAGTAATGTTTGCAAGTGACCACACAGGGAGATGGCAGAAGAGAGGTAGGGAATGTTTTGGAGCATGACATTTAACTCCTACTACCTTGCTTAGAGCTGTGTCCTGAGATGGCAGGCCAAAGGCATCTACAGATTTGTGTAGAGCAGAGGGGAGGGGTGGAGAGAGAACTTGCTGAGAAAGAGGTGACGTGTGCCTTGGTGTGCAGAAAGCTACGTAAGGCACCTTGTTAAAGGAGAACTATGAGGTGAGTGCTATTCACTCACCTCATAGTTCTAGCCGACCTGTGACAATGAAACTGTCACAGGTCGGCTTAGTAGATCGGGAGTTGAGCGAAAACATACCAGCGTTCGCTCACCTCTCGATCCTGTCACGGCTCTCTGCCGTGGCAGGGGAGGGACTGGAAGGGGCGGGTACAGCTGGCTCTGCCTCTAGATAGGCAGAGCCAGCTGTCAGTCACACAGCTGGGCGGATCCAGACATAATTGTTACATACAAGTTACAGCTCGCGGTATACTGAGCCTTGGGTGGCGGGAGGACGCTAGTTTGTGTCCTCCCGTTACCCTAAGGAGAACTATGGGGAAAAGCCTTAACCCCATAGTCCTCCTTTAACCCCTCCCCATAGGCTGTTGCTTCAAGAATCCTGATAGAGACCCTATGATGACATCACAAGGTTATAAATGATTATAAACCCTTTGTAAGAACAAACAGTTATGTATACCTAGCTAACAATGAAATCTGCCAGCACAGCACAGACAGGGTTAATTATGGCAAACACAATTCCCAGCTCCTGCATAAACATTACATAGAAAGGATTACCTTACATTTTCAGTCCTGGAGTTATCGGAAAACAGGATTTAAAGGGTAAAGAGCAATTTTAAATATTTTTAAGTTTTGCTATTTAAATGAGAACATGTAACACATATATAGTAGGTATTATCCCAGTTTGGCTGCAAAAATAGGAATACACGGTAATGCTCTCATTTCCAGAGCCTATGTTCACATTTTCACATTTTGTTTAGTGACATCTTGTGTTTGCAAGAGAATTGGAAAATGACTGCAGAAAGCCTTACATCTCCCAGCACCTGGATACTGCATTGCCCTTCAATTGGCAAAAGCAATCACTGGGCAGAAACTTCTGACAGTCATTGGGCAATCGGGTATAGACCGCCTGTATTAACTATACAGGGATAATATAAATATGTTATAGGCAAATTTTAAGCAATACAGTGCTGGGCCTGATATGAATGACAAATTAGGGGTGCCATATATGTGGGCAGTAATCCCTCTACCCTGGCTGTTTTTAACTCTTCAACGATCAGAATGGGAAGTTAAAGACTAAAATGGCTGCAGACCCCACATGGCAAGTCTTTCTTCCTCGTTTCCTCTTTTTCCTAGTATTTGGGTGGCGTGATGTAGTTAACTTTATTGCACATATTGGAAAGGTGAGGAATGTGGCTGCTAAGTATGAAACATGGGTGTTTTGAATTCCTTGGGAAAAATCAAATGCAGTGGTGTGATGCCAAAGTGGGGGCTCATGCAGCTTGGAAGATTATTGATAGCTTTGTGTACACAGCGACAGAGGACCGCAAGCTGAGATTTTTTCAATAAAAAATTCCTTCTTAGGGTAGTGCAAGAATATTGACTGTGGAGGAGACAACAGTAGCGCAGTATTACGTTTGGCAAAGCGTACCTTTGTATTTACACTGAAATGCAGGACAGTTGCCGACTGCCGTATTATAACAGAAGAATAACAATCAGATATCAGTGGGTGTTCATAAAATTGACATAATTTACAAGACAATCTAATACAAATGCCAAATACAGTGGTTGACTAATTGTGATGAGTTGAAGCTCCATTTCAGGATGTGGAGGTAAAGATCCCACGTCTTTAAGCTAACACATCCTTAACGTGGACTAAATTGCCTCTCTGCAAATGTGTAAATGGAGTTTAAGTCTTTCATACTGGAAACCCAACAACACAGAATTGTATATTTTTTTTGTTTTTGAACAGAAAAGTTATTGCATTTTTTCTTCTATAAGAACAGGTGCTGTTTAGTACAAACTTGGATTTCCATCTCTCCATGTGTTTACTACACTTTGTCAAAACTGTATTCTCTTATAAAATACCAATTTATGTTTATTTTCTACAGACTACACTGTATGGCAAGTTGGTATCAGCTAGGCAGAAAATAGCCAGTGAGAAGGACATTCCACCAGCTGTGCTAGCTACCAACAAGGTGCTTGTGGACATGGCTAAAATGAGGTACGTGTAATATTTCCTTAAATTTTTGTTTTGTATGGTTAACTTCATAAGATTCCTAGTGACTGCTGAAATACAATTCTAAGATAATCTCAGATCACTAAGATATGCCAGAATTCTATACTATCCCAGAACTCCTGGGTTCTAAGATTATTATTTAGAATTCAAAGATAATACCTAGTGGGATACACTCAGTGGGGTGAGGGAAACGTTGTACAGTTTTCCTTACATAAGTTCACCAACACCTCCCCCCTACCCTGAGTGCCTCCCACTAGATGAAATACTTACCTTCAGCCCCGATCCAGCAATCTTCACTGTGTGGCTCTGTGCAGATCCGCACACCTTTTGCTGGATCAAGGCTGAAGGTAATTTTGGACCTAGTGAGATGCACTCAGGGGGGTAGGGAATTTTTCATTAGAACTTTTCAAAGGTACAGTTGTACTTTAAAGCCAAAGTATCACCATGACGGTGAGGAAACTAGCATTCTCAAAAGGAAAGGTTAGCAATGGCAGCCACCATTGTGCTCTCATCACAGTTTCCCATTTAAGTTAAACTCCAGACTGGCTTAAAAAATAAAAATTATTTCCTCCCCAATATATAATAGTAATATTTACCGAATCCACGGTCCCAAGGCAGCTAGTCTTTTTGGTTGTTTTCTCTTCCACCCTGGAATGTGAGCCGGCCCTTGACCTACGGGATATAATTGGTGAGATGGATCTTGATATGACTGGAGAAGAAAACCCGTCTTTGGGGACCAGTCGGTACTACCAGAAATGGCAGGTAGTAAGCCTGCGGGACGGTGAATGAAAATGTATGTTCACAAAATGTGAGAAAATGAACTTGCCCACACCACTCTGCCGCCTCTCTTGACCCTCATTGTTCATACCTTTCCATGCAGGAGTTGCACCGGTGTGTGTGGGGGTGGAGGTTGGGTGTGGGTCAGGCTGGCACTTGCATACCAAGGTATGAACAGCAGGGGCCGGGAGAGGTGGTGGAGTGCCATGGGTAAGTTAATTTTCTAACATTTTTTGCAGTTAGTTTTCTGAGAAATTTGTGCAGAAGTTATCTATTTACTATGAACCCAACTAAGAAATGGTTTGAAACCCTTTCTAAAAACTCTGTTTTCACTGCAAGATCTTGCCGTTCATTTGATTTTGGTTGTGGCCTTAATTTGTCTGACTGGTCAAAATCTCTTAGAAAAGTCTAACCGCTGCTGCAGTTGATCCCTTTCTAAAGGTACGCATGGAGCAGATGGCTGTGACGTTAAACTCCAGCTATGGCGATTTGCTGGAAGCCTCCTGTCCTGACCTTTCGCACATTTCTTTGCTGTCACTGTATATGCGTAGGGAACCCTTATGTAAAAAGTGTTTAATCTGCATGGCCTTTGAGGGACAGCATCTTTTCAGACCAGCACTTGACAACACCATCAAGGATGCTAATTAGTGGAAGAAGCCTAAGGAACAGACTTCTCTCTCTTTAACTTTAAAAAAACAAACCCTTTTTGTTTCACTAGTCATTCAACCTCCATGCCGAGATCCCCCTAGGCTCCTGATCCACTCGCAAGTTCTGGCACCCAAAGTCTGTCAATTCCTTTGATAAGGCTTCCTTTGTATGAAAGTGTGCTCCCAGTTTGTTAACCTTTGTGGCCACTTGGACAGCTTGCATCTCGGATGCTTGGGTGCAGGAGGTGGTATCCCAGGGCTAGAAACTAGAGTGTTACTCCCTGCCCTCCTCAGTTTTCTCACCTCCAACTTTTCTGTGTCACTGTACAGAGTAGAAGATCTACATTAAGCCCTCTCAGATCAAGGTGTAATTGCCCCATTTCCTGTAGTAGAACAGTTTCAGGGGTTTTACTCCAATATGTTCCCTATTTCCAAGCCCAGAGGGGTAATTTGTCCTATTGTGGTTTTCAAAGTTCTGAATGTCTTTTTTCAAGTCCACCATTTTTCCAGCACATCAACAATTCTTTAATTACGCTGTGGGTACCCCTCCACTACCAGTTGGTGGCCTTGCCCTTCGGGGACCTGGTCATTAGAGGAGTTCCCATTTATCAATCTTGATTTTCTTGTCATTTGGCTGTGTCTGTCACATCGGATCATCTTACTTGAGGGTCATCCAATCCAGATTCAGTCAGACCATTCCATGACGTTGGCATATATAATCATCAGGGAGGAACCACAATTTTTGGTGCGGTCAGACTGGTAGATTGGATCTTGTCCCGGACTGAAATTCACATTCCAACCTTGTCAGACATATATATTCCAGGCATAGACATTTCACAGGCATACCTTCTCAGCCTTTGTTTAAAATGTTTCAGCATTAAAAAGTCAGCTGCCAATGATCATATTTCGGTTTCCATTTAAAATGTAAATACAACTTACACAGCTTTGCATGCTTACCTGGTAACCAAAGATTGTTTCCTAATTTATTTTTATTTTTTTACCTTACTATCCATCCTGGGTTTGTTTGTTCTTACAATATTTGTCATTATAATTAGCTGATATCATTCAAAAACTAACCACCATAGTAGATTTACACTCTAATAACTTGCACAGCCTTAATATTTAAATTCCACTTAGATGCCAGGATTCTGCATTTCTATTACTTATTGTGGTCATCACATATTTGCTTTCTGTCATTACTGCGATCTAAGACCTTGGCAAGATCCTTCCCCCCATGACTGTCAAGATTTGCTCTTCAGCTACAGCCACGTTACTGGCACCAGGCTGAGCAAAATGTTCCATATAACTACAAGGTTGCAGAATATAGATTATATATGTCACTTACCATCTACTGGATTCTCCTACTAAAATGTGGTGGAGTACTCAATGAAATCAGGTAAAAAGGTAATGGTCATTTTATCACAGGCATTTCCCGCCACAAATTTATATTATCAGGTAAGATATTGAGGTTGATTAAACTTTGGCCCGCTCAACCCCAAAACAGAGATATATTTTGAATTAAATTGCTTTTTAAATGCACTCTGTATCCTGTTTGCATATGTCTACATAATGATACATTTCATCTGAAGACCAACAACAGTTGAAAATATGAAGAAGCTTGATGGAGTCTCAGAAGCCAAGGCTAAGATGCTGGCTCCTCTTGTGGAAGTAGTCAAGGAGTTCTGCTTGGCCAACTGTCTGAAGGTATTGTTTTATCTTTCCTTGTCATTCAATGTGGTGAAATATACAGCGAGGAAAATAATAATTTGATCCCCTGCTGATTTTGTAAGTTTGCCCACTTACAAAGAAATGAGAGGTCTATAATTTTTAGCATAGGTGTATTTTAAATGATCGAGACAGAATATCAACCATAAATGTCTGCGGTCAGATGAGACCAAAATTGAGCTCTTTGGCATAAACTCAACTCGCCGTGTTTGGAGGAAGAAAAATGCCAACTATGACCTTAAGAACACCATCCCTACAGTCAAACACGAAGGTGGAAACATTGTGACACCCGTTAACGGAAAATGAAGGTGGGGGTGATCTCCCCAGGGAAAACACTGGTAGCAGCAGGGGGAAAAAAGCAAAATGGTTTTAAGTTTTTCCCCACTGTATTCAAATGTATGGAATTTAAACTTAATTATGGATAACAAACTTTCTGTATGTCACCAAAGGAAATCTCAACGCTCCAATTCCTTAGCTGCCATCAGGACTCCCCAGGTGCTGGTCTAATAGGTGCGTCTCCACCTTGGAGTGTAGTAGTATACGAACAGATCGCACTATCCAGAGAATTCCAATACTTCAGACTTTATTGAAATTCACAGCAAATCCAGTGTAACATTGAATAAAAGTGAATTCCTCATAGGAAGTTCTTTCTATACAGAGAAGATTAGTCAGATCATCTAGTTTTTCTTGAGAGGAACAACTTCATTTTTAACACAATATCTTTCATTCTCAGTGTTGTATTATCCTCATTCTTAATATCTTGGTTCAATATAATCTAAAACTAATTATGTAAAAATGTATCTGCTAATAGCTGTTCTATTTGTTAAACATTGTGCATGAAAAATCTTCTATGCTACCACCTTGTGGGTAAAACACAAACTGCAAACTTATTAACAGAAATGCAAAAAGGAATTTAAAAATGTATCATATGTACCACCATATACAAAACCAGATACTTATCAATAAACTTAAGCTGCCAATACTTTATAATTTAAAGTGGAACTACACCCTCCTATATTTTTACAGTCAAGGAAGGTGTGCCATCTTAGCCTCCATTTGGATTGCAGTTACCATAGTCCTGCACATGTGATAAGCTATGACACCAGCCATTTTAAGGGTTGAAAGTTCGGTTGGGAGCTGAAATAAGCACACTGGTAACCTTGACAGTTATTATCAGAGTCATGCCTTTTAAAGTAAATATTTTGTGGGGCAGTTAAATTGGTTGGTGTAGTTCCACTTTAAGCTAAATGCACCCGAATAGTATATTATTTGGCTTTAAGACAATGCCCACACTACCTAATCTCTATCAAGGGCATACATCTACAAAATACACGTTGGGCCACGGAAAAGTAGCCCGGCTCCAATACCAGTGCCACACTCTTTGGAGGAGGTCATAGCCCCTTGCTCTCTGTCTGGCGACATGGTGTCGCCCTGTGTGCAGTGTTCTGGTTTTATTTTGCCTTCCTATTTAGTCCTTCTGTGCACATCCCGTCAGAAAGATGGTTTTCTCCCTGGAACAGCCGATAGTGATTATGGAAGGCTATGTGCAAAGCGGATCGATTTAAGGAAACACAAGAGGCCTTCGGCGACAAGATCCCAGGAACAAAACCACCAGCTAAACGTTGTTTTTAATGTCTGGTTCGTAAATGGCGCCAAACTGGCTCTGTCTCAAAAATGAAGAAATCGAGGTCTCCATCAGTCCGGATGCCCGAAATTGTCCGTGACATTCAGCAGCGGATTGCAAGTAGCCCCTGAAAATCAACTCGAAGACTGTCTCAGCAAGTTGTGGTATCACGAACGCCGTGTCGGTGCTGGAATCTCTGAACCTCAAACTGTACCGAATAACGTGTACAGGAACTGAAAGAGCCCAACAAAGCTAAACGCGTAAATTACTGTACGTGGTTGCTGAATATGATTGCTGATGGACATTTGGACCCATTGCTGTACTTCATGACGGACGAAGCTTGGTTTCATTTATCAGGTCACGTAAATTCCCAGAACACGAGGTACTGGTCCGCTGAAGATCCCCACTTGACTCACGAAACACCACTCCACAACCAGAAAATTTACATTTGGTGCGCGGTCAGCAACACGAATAGTGGACCCAATTTTTTTCAAATCAACTGTGACTATTGCGGTTTACCTGGACATCTTCGAACAATTTTAAGGCCAACTAACACCAAAAGAAAAAATGTACTGCTTTTTCCAACAAGTTTGGGCAACATGCCATACCTCACGCAACTCACTGGCGCGGGTTAATGAACTGTTTATGGAGGAGCGAACTGTGAGCGAGGGGTTATCTGTGGAAAAATGTAAAGCAACAATCCACATACCCTGGATGAACTCAAGGAAAACATCACAAATACTATCCGCAGTATCACTGTTGTAGAGCTGCAAGCAGTATCGGCCATCATGCTCAGACGTGCCCAAAGGTGCATAGACGTGAACGGGTAACTTGTGGGTAAGTGAATAAAAACAATCCACTTGCTCGTTCATCTCGTCATACTATCGCCAGAGGCGGGCTACTTTTCCGTGGCCCACCCTGTAGTATACATTCAATGTGTTCCGGAAAGAAGTGTTTGAGAAGGCTGCTTTGTTATCCTTCGTGTGGTATCTTGTCATGTGGGAGTTGTCAGAGAGCTGACTGATATTACAAGCAATCACAGTGAGCACAAAAGCCAGTTTTTAAAGTTCCTGTGAGTGGTGATACATATATTGTAGTGCTTTGAAGAGGGTTGATGAAAGCTAAAGAATCAAAACGTAGAAGCCCTCTAAGGTGTGTTGGAACTTCTAAACAATTGGCAAAAACCTTTGCATCCCATTTTTGGAATTATATAATTTAAGCGTTTCATGAGACTCATGACAATGAAACCCCACAAAACAAAACTGAATAAAATGAGTTGGCTAAACAGCTTTCTTCAGACAAGGCTGTTGGAAATGAACAGTGGAAAGCATGAGTGTTTTATGCTACAAACCCTGCAGACATAAACACATTTACTGGTATTGTTACAGTGCATTGAAACAAAGCTTCATTCCTCCTGAAAAGTGATTACATTTAAAGCAATTGTCCCATGTATGCCAGCATGCCTTTGGTAAGTCCTAAAGTAAAGCAAAGGTGTGAAAAGAGGTAAACTATTACTTATTCTACAAAGCTTTCAAACTAACTGATCACTGTAATTGGTATTGCACGTCTTCAATCTGCTATTTGGTACCATTGTGTGCACCATACGGAACATGGACTAGCTGTGTCTGGAACAGAGTTGCTTTAATCTGTGTAGGGCAAAATAACATCTCATGACCATCAAGGAATTCTGCAACAAAACATGGTGCCCATTGTTAGACCCAAAGTAATGGGTCCTTCAACTGTGTAACGACCAAAAACACAGCTTAAAGCACCCAAAAATGTCCAAGAACAAAACCTTGGACTATTCTTAAGTGGCCTTCTATTAGTCCTGATCTGAATGCTGTTGAACATCTATGATATGAAAAAGCTTTGTTGTAACCCTTCTTTGCATTAACTGTCATATAACAGCCTTGAGATTGCTAACCCCTATTCATAAAACCCTATTTATTGTATTCGGGTGACATTCAAAAAAGTGTCTATGCTTAAATGTCACACTGTTGGTGGTATTTTTGGGGGTTTTTTGGAAGGTATTCTGAGATGTTATTGAGTCCTGAATCACACATTCAATATCAAAACCAGAAGAATTTAATAATGTGCTCTGTTTTTTCTTTTTTTAATTTTAGGTAGATTCCTTTTCAGATGGAAAACCAAGTTCAAGTGTGCGTGTATCAAAAGGTTCAGTTGTCATGTCACTCCCAGAATCTCCACGCATCACCTACTCCCTGTTTCAGGAACAGAAACTGTCTTTGGTGAGTCTGGCAGCTTACACTATCTATAGTAATCCATATAGCAATCCTGTGGAATGCACCTAAATACAATACAATTAAATCTTTCAAGGCAAGGCAGTTCCTATCAAGCTGATACCTCATACATGCTGCTCAGGATACAGGCCACATATATACAATAAAATTGTATACAGTAAATACAGTGGTACCTCGATTCACGAATGCTTCTGTTCACGAACAATTCGGTTCGCGAACAGGAAGTTCTGCAAAATTCTGCTTCCGTTCGCAAGCCCCGCATCGGGTGACTAATACAACAGCAGCCATTCCCTGCTCTGACACATGGTCGTGGCTTCCTCTAGTCGAGATCGCAGTCTGATCAGAGTTTGATTCGGTTCGCAACCAGAATCGTGGAACTAAGTTTGTGAATCAAGGTACCACTGTACATTTGTATTGATGCATGATTTCCATAAAGCAATATAAAGATTGTTAGGACGAGATTCACATATTGTGGGTACCAATATTTCTTTCGGTACTCGCTGATACTGATAACGGTGCCATGTGCCCAGATTATTAGGAAGCTGGGCAGCGGATCATGACCCACCGCCCGGCTTCCTGATTGCTTGGGAAGCCAGTGTTCTATCAAAAGAACACCGGCTTGACTTCCTGATCAATCAGGAAGCCGAGCAGCGGGTCATGAGGCTACCAGCAACAAGTGAAGCTGGCTTCCTAGCCAATCAAGAAGCCAGGTGACACGTCATGACTGATTGGAAAAGAAGCCGGCTCCATGCTCCCTCGTCACTGCCGGTCAGAGGTAAGTATCGGAGCATTTGGCTCGCCCAAATACTAAGTAAGGGGCACAGATACCGACACTAGTATCAGTATTGGTGCATCCCCTAACGCAGGGGTAGGCAACCTTGGCTCTCCAGCTGTGTTGGAACTACAAATCCCATCATGCTTCTGCCTCTGAGAGTCATGCCTGTGGCTTGCAATGCCTTATGGGATTTGTAGTTTCAGGACAGCTGGAGAGCCAAGGTTGCCTACCCCTGCCCTAGAGGGTACACCTATTTGTAAAGGGCTAGGCAGTGCACTTTTGACAATGATACTTCTCAAATAAGGAGCCAATAGCAAAAAAGGTGGGTTTAGGAATATTGTCTTGACAGAATGAACATCCTGCGTGGCCTGGCTGTAAACTATGGGCTTTTACTATGTGCCCTTATTTTTCAAACTAGAATGGTAATCTATTCTAGCTGAGGTAAGTCAGCACTGTCTATAGGTTTTGGTTAGAGATGCACCCATACCGCTTTTTCGGTTAAGAGTACTAATATTTTTTTTCAGTACTCGCCAATACGGATACCAGAAGTCTTAAGGAAGCTGGGCGGCATGTATTGACTCGCCACCTGGCTTCCTGATTAGCAGGGAAGCCGTCTCTATGCTCCATCACCAGGTGATGAGGGAGAATGGAGCCGGCTTTCTGGCCAATCAGGAAGCCAGGGAGGCGGGTAATGAATCGCCACCCTGCTTCCTGATTCGCCATCTTTCCGAACAATCAGGAAGCTGGGAGGCGAGTAATTCTATGCCACCCGGCTTCCTGATTGGCCGGGAAGTCGACTCCATGCTCCCTCGTCACTTGGGACGAGGGAGTATAGAACCTGCTTCCCGGCCAATCAGGAAGCTGGGGGGCGAGTCATTAAGCACCCCCCAGCTTCCTCATTAGCCAGGAAGCCAGCTCCATGCTCCCTTGGTGACAAGGGAGCTGGCTTCCTGGTCCAATCAGGAAGCGGGGCGGCGTGTAATGACTTGCCGCCCGGCTTCCAGATACCGGAAGTTCCATTATCGGGATAGGAATTGGGAGCATTTGTGCAACTACTCGTACCGGTATCGGTATCAGTGAATCCCTAGTTTGGGTACAAGGATACTTCTAACCTATTTGTGGTTCTCACGGTGTTGCTGGCCCACTGCAAACAGTACCACCTTCACAATCATAGATGTGATGTTTCTGCATTTTACAATAACTCACCAAGATGATTTAAATTCATTTTAAGAATTGCTGGATGCAAATAACCTTCCTTGTTTAAAATCTGTAATGCCCTTAATAAGTTGGGATAGTTTTTCTCATTATTCATGAGATGTATTTTTTTTAAACTTCTTTCTTTGCTTGGCTACAGGATACAGCAGCATGTGTCTGAAATGTGACACAAACACTTCATACACAACACTTCTCCCATACTGGAGAGTTGTCATCACATTTTGGAAAGATTTTCTATTGTTTCTCCAGGATAGGAACTAAAATGAAATTTACCCAATGGGATGCAACAAAAAATAAATCTTGTCAGTTTTTTAACAATTTGTTACCATAGAAAAAAGTGTTGGCTATTGATAGACCAAGTCCCTTTCCTTTTCTATAAAACCTAACTACCACGTTTCTGCTTGCAGTGCTGTGTATGCTCATTAGACAAATGTGTACAAAAGCTTAGCAAGCCTTATATGGCAATCATTTAGGCCAGGGGTAGCCAAACTCCAGCCCTCCAGCTGTGGTGAAACTACAAATCCTGTAGGAAGGTGGTACTTGCGTTAGGCTCACCTAGTTGTTGCAAAAAAAATCATGCTTGTAACTTGTTTATGGCACAATGTAGCATTTTCTTACGATCCATATGTTATTGACACTGTAAAAAAAATACAAATATAAAAGGACAATTTGATTTAAAAAATATTATTTTTAATTAGATCTGGCACTGTTCTGCTTAAAAACTCAGGCAAACAACTTAATACATAGCTGTTTTACCTGCCAAAGGATGTATATTTCTGCCCATCCAGTCCTGCGATTTACACAGCTCTGCTACATCACACAGCAATGCCTGGTAGGACTGGAGACCTGATTTTTCTCTGCTACAGTTCATTACCATTTACAGATCTCCTCAATACCCTGTGTTTGGACAGTGAAAGGATATGCAGCAGTTCATCTCTCTGTCACTCTGCTCTCTTCTCCTTTTACCATTCTCCTTGTACTGCAACATGTTAATACTTTGTGGTGCTTCTCCCTCCCCGCTCTGAGCTCTGCTCTACAGGGGATTGCAAAAGGCTGATACCAAGTCAAATTCGGGTACTTGCACTTGTTGCATTTTAAAAAGACATTTAATGATACAGTTGTGTAAAAAAGTGTTGGCCCCTTCCTGATTTTTGATTGTTTTGCACGTTTGTCACACTTTAATGTTTCAGATCATCAAACAAATGTAAATATTAGTCAAAGATAATGCAAGTAAACACAACATGCAGTTTGTAAAGGAAGGTTTTTATTATTAAGGGAAAACAAAAGTGTGACAAATGTGCAAAACAATGAAAAATCAGGAAGGGGGCCAACACTTTTTCACACAAATGTATATGATAAATTAAGAGCCGCCTTTATTTGTGTCTTTTATATCTGCCTAAAGTTCAGCTTTAAGGAGACACTAATACAAAGTGCATACTACTTCTCTGCTCTACATGGCTCTGTACTTGCTTTACCATAAAGTGAGATCTTAATTCATTTAACTTTAAAAAGGAGTATTTATAGGTCTTAGTGAGGTGGACATCACTGTCCCATTAATTATACAAAAATAAATGCGCAAGCTCTAAACTACTTCACCTTTGTATTTCATTTATTATTAACTGTCTATTATTTTTTACAGCAAAAAATTGCTGATGCCAGAAGTATAAGCTTGGCAGCAGTTGGTATGCATCTTTGGCAAGCTCTAAAAGCAGGCTATCAACTCGATGTGCAGCGAGCTGGCTTGACTCCTGCAATACAGAAGACCATCACTAATGTGATTAAAAGTCCTCCGATAAACTCAGGTCAGACACTGATCAAACTGCACTTCTGCTGAATACTGATTGTGGGATATTTATTTAT